AAGGCTACAAATTGAGGAGTCAAAGGCTGAGATCAATAAAGAAGGCATTAATGGACTTGTTGATTCTATCAATAAACTTGCTAATTCCATCCTTGCTTTGGCTGGTAACAAGAACCAATCAACTGATCCTAAATAGCTAGCTACTCATCATGTGTCTTTGTCAATCTTGAATAGTATGATTATGTTGTTGTTTCATACTATATCTTCTTATATAATACTAAGTTGATGAGCTGATTGTAACATTATTGATTCATTGATGAATGCAATTTAAGTCATTTCCTTTCCTTTGGAATTCTCACATTGATCCAACTTTTCACAACACAATGTACTTTTTTTGTTTGAAATGTATCGTTTAAATTTAGCTCTCTGATCTAAGCACGCAAGAATGTGACTTAGCTATCAATAAAGTGGTACGAAAATTACAGGAGACAGTGATATATCTAATATTTACAAAGGCAGTGAAGATGAACTGTCCCAAAAGCCACTGTGTTTATTGAGTTTTGTACATACACAAGTGGTATGAAAATCATAAAAAGATTATAGTTCAAATTGCAACAGAGATAAAGATATCTTCTCATCATAAGTCTTAGTATCTTCGTATATATGTTGGTGGGAGGTAACAAATACTACCATATTCATTCTGAATCAAAAAAATAATTGGCTCATTGAATTCAAGACATGACAAAGCAGCAGTCAAGATGAACTATTGTGTTTACTGATTCTGCACACATGTTGTGTTGTTGTCCTACACCATATTTCAGTTTCAAAAAATTTAAAAAGTAATGGGCAAGACTGAGTAAAGAAATTGTAAGCTACATGTGTAGGGCATGACAAAAGGACTGGTCAAAGGTACCTTCCAGTCAATAAATGGCCTTGACTAGCATTGCAAAATGGCCATTTATGTGCTATTATTCATGTCAGTTTTGTGGAAGGTTGTAGACTTGTAGTCATGGAAAGGTTGGGCTTTCCCATTCCCATTATTATTGGCTGGATGTGTATGCTTTCTTCAGTTTTCCTGACACAACTTGGCCACACTACATTTTAAAAAATAAAATAAAATTGTGCATTATAGCAAACTATTAATTCAAAAAAAATATTATAGTTACAGTTTCATTTAATTCTAATTCGTAGCAAATACATTGTCATTCGCCTCTCTCACTTTATACAAACACAAATGTATAAATTGTGTTTGTATAAAGTGAGAGAGACTGCATATACAAATACAAATACATGTCTCTCCGTCCTATACACTTAAAATTATATTAATACAAATCTTCACTTGCCCAGTTCTCTTTTGTCTTTCTCTCTCTTTGTATAATTTGTGTTTGTATAAAGCGAGAGAGAACTGTATATACAAATATAAATACATATTTTTTCGTCTTATACACTTATGATTACACAAATACAGATCTTCCTCTGTCCAGTTCTCTTTTGTCTTTCTTGCTTTATACAAACACAAATAATACAAATTACAATGTATAATTTGTGTTTGAATAACGCGTGCGAGAGAGAGAGATTTGATATACAAATATTTTAATTCGATTCAATTGTATACAAATTCAAATGTTATGTAGATATACAAACACAATTATTGATACATATACATAGTAGTTATATATATACAATTATCTAACTGATATACATTTACAATCGTTGCGATTTTATACATAGAAGATGTCTGTGATTTATACAAATCAGTTGCTATGGAGCGCAAATAGCAAAAATATAGCTATAGAGCGCTAATATGATTTTTATGTTTGATATACCTAAAATTTGCTCTCTTTTTTTTTTGAATTATAGTACTTAAAAGCGCTCTTAAAATTGGCATATTTTATTAAATGCATACCTAAATTATGAGAAGTCTTGATTATCTCTCCGAACATGAATTTTTAGAAGGAAAAATGTCATATATGGCAAACAAATTTAATGAAATAACGCTATATAGGTATAGTTTACATAATTACATTTCATGGATATAGTTTTGTTTGCTATGGGACTTTAATTTTGTATAAAACGTTTTTTTGGTTTTAACTTTATACAATAATTTTTTTTAAAAAAATGAATGGAAACATGAGCGCTAAATACGGTAATAGTAAATTTACATAATCCAATAATTCAAGCTAAACATCCAAATGTTTTCCAAAAAAGAGTTCTATAGCGATAGAAAGACCATACCAACTTGTTTCCTCAGATGATTGACCATCAGATTCATCACTATTTTTGTATATTTAACGCCATGTAAGATTTCTTTGAAGGAAACTTCGTGTTTTGAACGGTAAGAAAGTATACAATTGATTTTTATATCATAAAATAGAAATTTTGAAAACGATTTTTTTGTTTTGTTGATTCTAATGGTTCATAAATTTTTTTATTTGTTTATACAAGATTAGATAAATTGTATATTAACAATTCTATTCTAATTTTTTGTTCGAAAAATTGAATGACACGATTTGTATATATGAAGTGTATATGATTCAATAAAAAATGTGTGCTTTAATTTGATAAAAAAATTCCTTTGTAATTTTATTGTATATGCAATTATACAATTTATATATTGTTTAATTGATAATATTGTATATATGTAAGTAATTGTGTAAAATGCTTATACAATGTATATGTGTAAGTATTGTATAAAATTAGTATGTCAATTGTATATATGAATCGTGTATGATTCGACAAAAAAGGTGTGCTGTAATTTGTTAATTTTTGGTATAATTTGTTTGTATATATAATTGTGTAAGGTTTGTGTATTGTTTAATGTTCATACTATTGTATATAAATAGGTATTTGTATAATTTCTCTTATATTGTGTATATGTGACAAAAATTGTGTGAAATGCATTGTATATGCATTATTTATATAACTAAACAAAATATACGAATAACTAATACAAAATGTTATTTGAACATGAAATATACAAATATCTATATACAAATATGATTTAAGCAAAAAATATACATATACTTTATGCAAATTTGTAAATAACTAACGAAATATACAAATCTAGATACAATTGTGTTTTAAGCAAATACGTAATTTTCTTCAGATTTGTCCAGATCTAATGAAGCAGACACAATCTCCTCTAAATCATTGTCTTTGGCTTTTCTCTTACTTCCTCCTTCAACAATTTTACTGCCGCTTGTCTTCGCATTGACGTTGATGACTTTCTGAAGTGCAATCGGGTCATTTTTTTTTTCTTGGAACTCAATTCTTCAATAGATTTTTCATCTAGAACTTGTATAGATTTTGTCATAGACCAGCATTGACTCCAAAATCTTGAGTTAAACCGATTGAAAATGAAGGTGGACAACTTGGACATGCAATGGCGTACCTCTCATAATCCTCTTAGATGGAGTCGAATCATCCATTTGTTTTTGAAAAACGGATAATCTGATAAGTAATGAGGGAATTTTTAGAAAAAAATTATCAAAAAACTAACAAGCATAATACATATACAATTGTTGAAAAGCGAAAAAAAGAGATTCACCCACGATTTTGGCAGTTACTAGCGAAAAGTGAAAACACGATTGGATGACAGTAAAAACTAACAAGCATAATACACTAGTGATGTTTGTCAACTCGTGTATTTTTTCCTAAAAAAATTTAGAATTGTTTATTACCCTTTTTTTTAACCTTCAACTTAAGGTTGAATATTACCTTATTGAACACAACGGTCTCGTTCAAATACGCACACTACTATTAAAAATGGCATAAAATAGATTTGATATTGAAAGCCGATGTAATCATTGAACGAGGAAGAATTATAAAAACGATTTTTATAATATTCGTCAAACATTTTGCAAAAATAGAAAACAAAAAAGTACATAACTTTTGGGATACATGGAAAAAACACATACTATTAAAATCTAGAAGTATGTAGAATGAAAAGAGCAAAAATGAATTTATACTAAACTTTTTGTTGTAATAAAATGTAAACTACAACTTACTGGATTGGCAGGAAAGGAAAAACACAGGTCTAATAGTAAAATCAGATTTTGAAAATCAAAGGGAGAATAACTCGTTATATCTTGAAACAAGAAATATAAGAAATAATGATGAAAATTCGTTATCCCTTAAAACAAGAAATAATATAACTTAAACTAGTAACATTAAGTGGAACGGTAGAAGAAAATAAAATACAAGAAATTAAAGAGAAACAAGCAAAAGTTGTAAATCTTATTGAAAATAGAACGTTACTTTAATCTTATTGTAAATCAACACTTGTTACTTTTTTATTATTATTATTATTATATATATATATATATATATTTATTTATTTTGGCAAATAAAAGGAATTTTCATTAGCAAATAGTTATTCTTGTACCATCTCAAAAACTACTTTAACTTGACAGTGTAATCGTACTTTTGTATGATCCTCCTTGTGATTGACCAAGATGTATCAATATTACTATTGGCTTGATAAATTCTTTTATTTCTCTCTATCCAAACACATCTTGTATATGGTTGCTCTTGACATTTGAGCAGGCCCATTCAAGTTCTATTAAAATCAGTGATGAAACTCCATTGTTAAGCTAAGTTGAGCTTCCATTGATAACCTTGAGAGGAAGGATCTGGAAGAAGAATATTCTTTCTGTATTGAATTACTTGAAGAAGAAGAAAAATACATGTGTTTGTCTAGTATATATACACGTTTGAACTCCAACTAATTAACCAACTAGTATCAAGAAATAACAGAACTGCCATCCTAACTAACTAGTCGACTTAATTAACTGCTAAGCTGACTCACTAAACTAAAAGTTAAACTAATTAATCTCAACAAAGTCAAAAAATAGAATCCTAAACTAATTTGGTAAAATAGATTTAGAATCCTAGTTACCTTCTAACACTATATTTAATATTTATGTTCAATAAAATAAAAAGTAAAAACAAATTGAAAAACTTAACTTTTGTGTGCCTTAGAGTTAAGTGATAATGTAAAAAGGGTTTGACTGACCATGCATACAATTTAAAATATATATTTAAGATTGTAATATTGAACCCTACCATTTGAGATGGCACAAAAGAAGAAGACAAGCAGCCCAATCTGAATCACAATATGCCCTAAGATTGAAGTCAGGAACATTTGAAATGAATATCCCCAAAGTGGGATCATTTTTAAGATATCTAAGGACATGTATTGCAGCTTTGAGATGAGGTTCTCTAGGGGCCTGCATGAATTGGCTCAGATATTGGACACTGTAGGCTATGTCCATTCTAGTATGAGTAAGGAAATTGAGTTTCCCTACTAATTTTCTATAATGAGTAGGATCAGTGAGAGGAGGGCCTTCATCTGCTTGGAGTTTGAGGTTGCACTCTAAAGGAGCAGTCACTGCAGTGTATGACAGGCATTCAAATTCCTTTAATAGTTATGTGGTAAACTTTCTTTGAGAAATCAACACACCATCTTCTCTATAGAGTAGCTCAAAACCAAGAAAGTAATGCAGCTGTCCTAGATCTTTAATCTTGAAAGTGTCATGCAGAAAAGACTTTAAATTGTTGATTTCTACTAGATTTGTCCCTGTGAGAACTATGTCATCTACATAAACTGCTACATAAACTGATGAATTGGCAGATTTCTTATAGAACAATGAATAATCTTCAACTGAGTGTTCAAAACCCCCTGGAATGTAGTGCCTCTGTGAGTTTGTCATACCATTGTCTACTAGCCTACTTTAAACCATATAAAGATTTTTTCAGTTTGCAAACCAAGCCTGGTGAAGCTACAGCTAAACCTTGAGGTGCATCCATGTAAACCTCCTCATGCAAATCCCCATGTAAAAATGCATTGTTGACATCCAGTTGGTAAAGTTTCCATCCTTGTTTAACAGCTATACTAATTAAGGTCCTGATGGTGGTCATCTTGATCACCGGTGAAAAAGTCTCAGTGTAGTTGACTCCAGCTTGTTGGGTATACCTCTTTACTACCAATCTGGCTTTAAACCTCTCCACAGTCCCATCAGCTTTATGTTTGACTTTATAAACCCATATGCACCCTATTGCTTTCTTACCTGCAGACAATTTAACTAAATCCCAGGTCTGGTTAGCATGTAAAGCCTCAAACTCCTGTGTCATGGCTACTTGCCATGCAGGATTCAAGGCTGCCTCCTCATAGGAATCAGGCTCTCTATCATGAGAAATGTTTTGTACAACCTGCTGGCTATCAAGTGTCAAAGAAGCAAGAGGAATTTGTCCAATATTGGTGAATAAGGCACCAAGTGATGGGGCAGGTTCTGACACTTGGTCTTTTAGCGAAGGAAGTGAATAAACAAAATCTTTCAGATGAGAAGGTGTATTATGGGTCCTAGATGATCTCCTAGGTGCAGGTATAGTTGGGTGGTGTGTAGGAGTAAATGAATGATGAGATGAGGTTGATGGTGTATCAGGGTGAAGATGTGCAGATGTGTCATTGAGGGAGTGCTGTGGAATATCTTGGTCAGTGAACATATTGGTGTCATTTGCAGGGCTACATGGAGTGTGGGGTGAAGTGCTGGTTTGTTCCACAGAGGCAAGAGGCGATGCATTTCTCTCAGTTGAAAACTCCCAATTATTAAGAATGTTATTTATAGGACTCTTTGAGTTCACATGCTTCAGTACAGATGGAAAAGAAGAATGATTTGGCGAATAAGCAAAAGGAAAAATAGTCTCATGAAACTGAACATCCCTGGAGACATGTAACTTCTTGGTGGCCAAGTCAAGAACCTTGTATCCTTTTGTGCCAAAAGGATACCCTATGAAAATGTGAGGATGGGTTCTAGGCTCAAACTTATCTTTGTGTGTTTTGGGAACAGTGGGATAACACAAACATCCAAAGCTTCTGAGATGAGTGTAGTCAGGTTGTTTTTGGTGTAAAAGTTCAAATGGGCATTTATTATTGAGAGTGGTAGAAGGTAGTCTATTAATGAGATAAGTGGCAGTCAAGAGACACTCCCCCCAATATCTTATGGACAGTTTGGACTGGTATAAAAGTGCTCTTGCTGTCTCTAACAAATATTTGTGTTTTCTCTCTACCACACCATTTTGTTGTGGTGTGTAGGGGCATGATTTTTGATGTAAAATTCCTTTGGATTGGTAAAAAGCTAAGGCCTCATGACTGGTGAATTCCAAGCCATTATCTGACCTTAAGATTTTAATGGAAGTTTGATATTGGTTCTGCACCATTTGGACAAAAGCTTGCAAGATTTGAAGAGTATTGCTTTTACAACTCATCAGATGTGTCCAAGTAGACCTGGAATGGTCATCTACCATTGTCAGAAAGTATTTGTAATTGTTGTATGTGGGTACATGATATGGTCCCCAAATATCTATGTGTGTTGTATATGGGTACATGATATGGTCCCCAAATATCTATGTGTATGAGGTCAAAGGGTTTGGTGGAAAAAGGGGAAATGGACTTCTGTGGAAATGGGAGTCTGGTTTGTCTAGCCATGGGGCATATGTCACATAAGAAAGGTTGTTTGGATGAAAAATGGGCTGGTATAGAGGATATCCCCTTCATTTTCACAAAAGGAACATGTCCCAACCTGTTATGCCACAAAGAGTCTACACAATCTCCATGAGACGAGCAGTTAAGAGAAAGTGAATTAGAAAAAGAGCAACCTGCTTTATTATATATACACGTTTAAACTCCAACTAATTAACCAACTAGTATCAAGAAATAACAGAACTGCCATCCTAACTAACTAGTCGACTTAATTAACTGCTAAGCTGACTCACTAAACTAAAAGTTAAACTAATTAATCTCAACAAGTTCTTCTTGCCATGACATACCATATCTTGAAGCACTTATCCACCAACAAACTAGACCAAATATTTGTTCGGTAAAGACATTAAAAAAATAGATAATCAGTTATTTCCGTTCATGCATCACAAAGGACACATTGTTGCGAATTAAAGCATTAAATTTGAAACGGAGGGAGTAATATAATAGAAAAATCAATAAAAAAGGGAAAAAAATATGGTGCGAATTAAAAAAAAGAAGATATATTTTCGAATACCCAATAGAAATTAACGAATTATAATTCTTCTCTTTTTAGGATTAGATTTCTTGTACAAAATATGATGCGAATAAAAAAAAGGAGTAATATTTTCGAATCCCAAATAGAAATTAACGAATTACATTTCCTTCTTCTAGGAAATAAACCAAGAATATGATTCCTTAATAGTTTAGGATTTATTATTTATGGTAATTTAAATATATAATTTCTAATTAGTTTAGGATTTGTTATTTATGCTATTTAGTTAATTGTGTTTAATTAGAATTTGTTAATCATAATTTAATTTGGTTTTGTTAATATATTATAAATAGGAGAGGCTTTTATTACATATTTTCAATCTAAGTCTCTTACTTCTTCTTTGTCCACTGCATAGCTCATATACAGAATCATGGCACCAACCACAAAAACGGCTTGATGATGATTTTGGGAATGAAAAAGTGTTCTCTTCTCATCTTATTGATGATGATTTTGGGAATGAAAAAGTATTCTCTCAAAACAACGAAAATAATGGAAAGTTCGAGGGAAAGAAGAATGAATTAGGGGAGGAACTTGAGGAGAAAGACAAGAAGAAGAGAGAAGAAGATTCCTGCGGAGCCATCTTGGGAGAGACGGAAGATGATTCGTGCGGAGCGATCAATGAAGGAAAGGCAGAATATGCAGTTTTAATAATAGTTATCGAGTTTAATAATTTATCTTGTTATTTACAGTATTTTTTCCCGCTTTTTTGCTTGCTCTTTTTAGTGTGTTTTGTTTGTTACAGTTAATCAATCTCTTTCTTATATACGGGATTTTTAGCAAGCAATGTCACCTTTTCGTATACTATTATATCCTTTCTAACTAAATTTCCGTTTTAAAAATAATCTCATTAGAAATAATATATCCTAGCGCTTTTGTTATCTTTTAATTACATATACATATTTATCAAGTTTTTTTTATACACATTGTATTATGTGCTTCTATAGAAAAAGAAAAAGAATCCAAATAACAAAATTTATCAAATATATTTTGTAGATATATTAAACGGAAAAGGGTCAAAATTGCCCCTGAACTATGCGAAATAGATTACTTTTACCCTCCATTATATTTTGGGATAAAAAATACCCCCGCCGTTATCCTAGGAGACCACAAATACCCTCAAGAGTTAACATCCCAAATTTTTAGTGACGTGGCAAGCCACATGAGACTAATCCTCCACCTAAGCGTTGCCAACTAAGATTCACTACAAAAGATCTTGACCTTTAGTGGCGACAAAGTCGCCACAAAATCCCAAAATATTGCCACTAAAGGTTATGAGTGATATTTAGTGGCGACTAAGGCTCCAACAACCATTCGCTAGTAAAACCTATTTTTTCAACAAAAAAATATGATAATTAATTTTCGATTGCAACGTAATTTTCTAAAATAAATAACTTGCAATATCAATATAATATTAAAAACATCCAATATTATTACGAAAAATCATCAAAATTACTTCTCGATTCAAATCTCCCACTATATAATGCATCATTGTACATTTTATACATTTACATATGACATAAAAATAAAACATACAGTGTCTTCAAACTCCTACTTAATCGATATCATTTTTGGATTTTTAAAAATAATGAAGAAAAAAACACAAAATTAGAATTTAATGTTAAAAACTTTTAGTGACGATTTTTTGGGCTTTTGTGGCGACTGTTGTCGCCGCTAAAGGTCTACTTCTTTTGTAGTGAATCCTAGTTGGCAACGCTTAGGTGGAAGAATTAGTCCCATGTGGCTTGCTACGTCAATAAAAATTTGGGGTGTTAACTCTTGAGGGTATTTGTGGTCTCTTAGGATAACAGCAGGGGCATTTTTGATCCCAAAATGTAACGAAGGGTATAAGTGGTCTATTTCACATAGTTCAGGGGCATTTTTGACCCTTTTCCGTATATTAAATTGTGAAACCAGCGGTAGCATAAATGATCTTTGTTAATTTTTGAAGTTAGACTTTTCATATGTTATACAATTTAGTGCCGTTAAATCTATATGGAATTCTTTTTGAGATGGGAAACACTTCAATTCAACAATTTTTTGAACCAATAAACTGGAGGTTCAATTGTGATTTGTTAGCATTTACAATATATTGACTTTTTTTTATACACAATCATTAGTACCAGGTCTATCATAGGTCATCCTGTAAACTTAATATGAATGAAGCTTCCCAATCACTAGTATAAAGATACTCTTTCGCCTTTTCTTAAGAAAATTGCACCAAATTTATGTGCAAATAATGCTTTAAGAGAGTTTGCCACTGGTACTCATCAATTTGACTGGTGTACGGATAATTTGAGGAGAATAATAGATTTGTCAATTTTCCATAATTAATACGCATGAAAGAGTTGATAGTAAAATATTTGTGATGCCGTCAATATAGAAAACAATCATTAAAAAGAAACACGAATTTAGGGACCACATTCATGTTACAATTAGCTGGTGTGAAATACAAGGTAAATATTTCTTTGTATCGGGTGTATACATTCAATGAATGTAACTTATTTTAATTAAATGATTTGATAGAGTAAAATATAAATTATGCAATTATAGTTTAAGTGATGTGTGTGTGTATATATTTCAACACATATCCTATATTTATTGACTTGATATTAACACATGATATCGATAAAGTTAAATCA